AGGAAAGTGTACAATAGTCTCTGTTCAAACCCTTGATCAGTCTGAGTATCTATTATATAGTTACATCAAATTGCCACGTCGTGAGAATTAATGTAACCTCATTATTTCACAACACATTTGTTGAAGATATTCTCCTATATAAATATCTGTCGAAGCTTCTCGCTAATGACTAATCTGTGTTTGTGACTTTGATTGTTACTTTATCACGCTAAGAAATTAGTCCTTCTAATTATTGAAATAAATAAGAATACGACAAAAATTCTTTTCGACAGAATGAGTTGCCAATCTAAAGAGCAGAAGAAGAAGACAGAGTACGTCCAAGTCTGAGAGAGAACGAAAAGTCGTTTCCGGTCTTCCTTGCCCCCTAACTTTCCTACCATTCGTCCTCCATTACATATTTAGCCAGGCGTAATGAACGATCGTCTCAGGGGATCGGTTGATCAGCGGGGAATCAATTTGTCGACGAGATTGACGAGCGAGATAATCGCGGAATGTCCGAGCAAGTCCAAGCAGCGAGCGACTTCCGGACGTTCGCCCGATGATTCGACAATTGTCGAATTGTAAATTTCTTCGATCGTAGCTGTCACGGTCCATCGAATTCCGACTTTCGACTCTCGTCGTCGATACTTTTTTTTTTCTTTTTTTTTTCTTTCTTTTTGAAACCTAATTCTAAACGTGACAAATCCATGAATTCCACGCACCTGGTTATTTAGAGTACGATGGTGAAGGAAAATAAGCGAAAACGAGCACCACCGTGGCCTTCTTGGTATTCTCGAGCTGGCGGCGGTCGATGCGCTCCTTGGTTACGTGGGCGCTAAGGAGCTATATATCACCGGGCAGGTATTCCCCTGGCAAATCGACTTTTATTGCTTTATAGCGATTGTAAGCCGGAGCCACGTTCCGTGTGGCGCATGTGTAATCTGGATGTAAGGAGCTCGTTATTACCGCGGGCCCATTCACAACGCAACTTCTTTTTCTTAACGATGGACAGCACGTCGTCGTGGTGGTCGATTCGGGCTTCGCCACCTGGATTAACTGTCGCAATCTGACGACGTTATCGCCCCTTTTCTTTTTTTCTCTCTCTTTTTTTTCTCATTTTCATTTTCTCTCATATCCGTCGCCGCTGTTATTTACAGTGTTCCACAGTGTTCCACGCAGGAACGAACAGCACGACGTGTAAACGGCCTGGCGGAGAGATCGATGCGCGTTGACTTTAATTACGAGAAGGTTGGACGAAGATGACGAAGCTAGTAGACGTCATACATCATCTCTTCTTTTTAAAAACAAATGAATAAATAAGTTATTTTTATACAGATACGAATCATAAAACTCGTTAGAAATCCACGGACATTCTAGTTAATTTTTTGTCGATTTAAAACAGGCACGTGTCTGTTCGAATGTTTTGGGGCAATTATTGTAATGAAAAATTGTATTGAATCATTTAAATAACTGATACAACTTTGTAAAAAAAGATCGTATAGCAATCTCATTTTAAAGAGCGAAACTTCTATTTTGATAGTCGTGAATTTGTTTCTTTTCAAGATGATTTGCGAGTGGCGGCTGGATGCTGAAAACTGAGGACACATTTTTCTCGAAAATTGTGTATAAAAATATTAAAAATCTCTTTTCATGACTAGATCCAAGATTTTCTCCTTCACAGTGATTCCCTGAAACTTGTTCTACAATGTTTTCTTTACCGTTTTACTGAATGTCGAACATTAGGATTAAATGATAAAAATTTTAAAGTCCCAACATCTTGTCGTTTACCCCTAATGTTCCAAATTCAATAAAATGGCGAGAAGAGAATCGCACAGCGAGTTTTAAGAGATCGTTGATAAAGAGGAAAATTTCAAGACCATGGTCATATTCAAGATTCAGTCGTAAGAAAATTTTTTGCAATATTTTTACAATTTTCGCGAAAAATGTGCCTTCAATTTCCCACCGTTGTAAAATCATTTTTCGAAAAGAAACAAACTCGAAACTGCCAAAGTAACAAGCTTCAGCTTCAGCTTTTAAAATGTACGATTCTTTTCTCTTTTTTTTACGAAGTTGTACCGACAATTTTTTATTGGCTCTTCGAAACTTGCATTTGAAATCAGTAAATGCTCGATGATATTACGTTTATCAAACGCAAGAAACGCGAAGAAGCCTTGGGTCGACACCCAATTGCATTCTCTCTCGGCTGACTCGCGCGTTTCTTTCTCCGCTGTCGTGGCGAGCTGTCGACGCCCGACCGCTCAATCTGCGTGATTAACCTTCGACAGACCCTGTCGAGGACAATTTTCCACGATTGCAAGTTCATTTAGCGACAGCCTGCTCCTCCTTCTCGTCCGGTAACGCGCATCACGAACCAACACGAGCGAGCAAGGCGGCTCGAAGATCGAACCGAGCACGAATGCCGTGTTTTCCTTATTGGCCGATTGAATAATACATGGGAACCGAATAGTATTAGAGCGACGGAGCGTGACACGCGATGCCCATGACGGCTGTCATGTCGTGCAGGTCATGCGTCACGGTTTTGACGAGTTGTTTAGCCCCGGCCGATTTATCGACCCCCGTGATGCAGCCTCTTCGCGCACCGTCTGCTCTCTCTCTCTCTCTCTCTTTCTCTCTTCTGTCTCTCCCCTTTCGCTGTGCACCAACACGACGATTAATAACGCCCCGGATCGAGATAAGAGGCAGGCTGCGATTTATGGGAAATTATCTTGACCTATGAATTATATCTCACGCGGTTATTATAGGCTTTCAGGCGGGTCATCTTGAAATCGAGTTACACGTTTGGTATACTTTCTCGGCCGATTGTTTCTTAACGGCCGTTAGATGGCACGGAAGATTGGAGGAGAGTTTGCGCAACGAACGAACAACGAACGGTAATTATATCGAATGTTTAAGGAAATCGTTCTTCTACGGCGCGGTAGTTGGCGTCTTCGAAATCGAATTCGAGATTTGAGAAAATCTCGGCCGAATACCTTGGCTAATATGGTCTGATAATGTCTCAAGATTAAGTAGAAAATGCGACTTGATCTATTAATTTATGTGAACCGGAATGCTAAATTCCTACGAATTTTAAAAACTAGGCTAATGAAGGATTCAACTCAAGCGTGATGTAAATCTAGGTATAAATTCAAGATTCGAAATTCGTAGACAGAAAAATGTTGAAGACATCTTCTTCAACTTCTCCGGTATCACCTATATATTCTTATATGGTGCAGCTTTTGATCGTGACGGTGGAATCTCGGGCCAGTTGTTCGTGAATTTACAACGGAGGAGAACGAGGGAGGCGGTTTCTTGACACGGCGCGGGCTGGTCGCGGCATAAATCACAATGAAACGCACGGCTCATTATACTTGCAAGCACTCGTGTAATTGCGACGGGCGTGTCCACCGCGTATTTACTCGCCACAGATCCGGCGCGACGTTTCGGTGTGCTCGCCAACTCGCGCACGACGACCGTTTCTCTGTCCCCTTTCCTCCAGCAACAGCGTCACGACCACGCGATGCTTTTCGCGAACCGGAAATACCCCGGCCGGATATAGGCGTGACCCGTGCCTCGGGTCTTAAATGTAACCCCCGAATTATACCTTCTCATTTGCAACAATTGTACTCACCACCATCGCCAGTATGCTCTCCTTTCTCCCCTGAAATTATCCGAATTTCGTCGTTGGACGAAAAGTTTGGGATGTTCCGTTAATGGCCATTGATCAGAGAAGCCTGAAAAATGAAGACTCGTGACAAAAATTATTTTCAATTATAAAAATAAGATTTATAAAATAATGCAATGAAAATTGTCGAAAGCCTTCATCGAACAAATCGTATTATTAAATTACGAGATCACGAGAACACGCCATTACACGATTGAATTCTTCTGCAATGTAATAAACAAATAAATAAATTAGATTAGAAAATAAAGATTTGACAAGTGTTGTTCCTGTTGTAAATCCATCAATTGCCTGGAACAAATTGAAAGCAAAGAACGCGTACAATTCTTACGTCACCTGAACTTCCTGTTTGCGACTTTCTCTAGTCTTCACTAACTAAGTCGAAACTCGCGATCATGGTTTCCGTTGCGGTTTTCGCCGGCGATATTTACGGACCTGTTGAGAAACAAAGCAGAGCGCCAGAACAAAGCGCGTCAAAGGGAAGAGGGTGAAGCGAATCCTCGAGCTACCTGCACTGCAGATTCGCAAATGTCCGAACAAATTGTTTCGCGAAGTAGATACCTGCCACTAACTTTTCGTTCACGAGCTTTCCAAGTCTCCAGTACAACACATCGTAATAATGACAGTTCGAAATCGATTCTATTATACAATAGAATTAATAGAATCCCTACGTATAATAATATTCTACAGATACAATTAAATTACACATAATAATTTTCCTATTGTTATCTATTATTTCCTCATTCGCACGATGAGAAATTGAAAAGATTTCTCCGATCTGGTAGGAGTTCAACTTTCTAATATTTTAAGGAAACCGATAAAAATAACCAATATCAATTCAGACGAGATTTTGTAAGTTTACAACGTGCTATCGAATCAATTAATATAATAATAATAAAAATAAATATCAAACCATTACTCTCAATTACTGTCAATTATTTTACTCTTAACAGAATTAAAAGTACTCTCAATTTTTTCTTTTTAATTTTCTTTCCAATGTTGTTTATTCACATTATTTGTTTCATTTGAAATATAGTCAACAAAGACCGTTAGTTGACAAGAACCAATTCAACAATTTTTCTGCATTAATCGCACTAACCTCACAGTTTAATTATTGGAACAATACTTGCTCTTACTGTTCGAAATTCAATTTACAAAAATTTGGCTGACAATAAATAGACTTTCATTGTGATTTATAAAAATTAT